TATCTCCAAAGAGGTGAGAGAAAGGAGAAATACAAAGGCAAAGGGAAAGGAAAGAGTAAAAGGTAGGGAAGAGGAGGAAAAGAAAGAAGAGCAAATAATAAAATATTATTGGGGAGACATGGTCCAAGAAGAGAAGCGGAGAGCAGAGCCTGGCTGTGCATCCGGTGGTGTTCCCGTCTAGCTGGCCAATGGCCGTGGTGTGAGTACTCCCACCATGCCTGATTGATCTTAAGCTCCCAGTGTGACATCACCAAATGTGGAGCTGGGGGAGATGCACACAGTTGTCTCCCACAGCTGTATGCCCTGGGGCTCCAACCTACCCCTGTTTGCATCTCCCAGAACACACAGGAAAGAAAACTCCTAAAGCAGCCCACCCACCAAAAAACAGCAAAGGCAGGGGAAGAACAAAGGGGCGTTTCCTCCCCCACTGCCCAGTCCATTACTGGTTGCAGCAGGGGGAAGGGTTGAGACCTACTTTGTGTTCCAGCAGGTGATCAAGGGCTTCATGGTGTGGTGGGTGTGGTCGATAGTCAGGGCCTCCAGAAGCCAGTGGAGGGCACAGAGCTGGCGGAAGAGGGGTTCCCTGCAAAGACAGAGAGAGGAAGCACAGTGAGATCCCGTCAGAATAACATTCTTCACAACTGTGCGGGCTCCCAGTTAGAGATGTTGTCCTGCTCATGCCTGTGTACTCCCCATGCATCAACTCATTAATCCTTTGCAGTGGCCCCATTTTACAGATGAGGAACCCGAGGCTCAGAGGAGTTAAGGAACCTGTGCCACGTCACTGGGCTAGTAGGTGGCAGAGCCATGATTTGACCTAAGATACCCTATGCCAGTGACTGGGGAGTTGTGTGTGAGAAAAGGAGAGATGATGAAGGGGTACCACGGCTGGAGTTCTTGACTTGGGCAATGAGGGGATTGAAGGAAATTAATATCCGACAGGTATCCAATCGTTCACCTGATGAAAGTACAATAAATACATTAAGAGTGTTGAAGAAGTCTGGAAATCCAGGGAAATTAGTGTATTCACTATGCTTCTCCGCCACCCCCAGATTAACAGTTGGACCCATTGCTTTAAATGTATAAATCTTTTGAACACTGAAGAAAAATATATTGAACTATTATTTGAAAATCCAACTAAATCCTGTTTAAAATATGTCTAACTTGTATTTGCTGATTTTGGGGGGCATCTTGTGTTACTATGAGCCAGGCGCTGACTAGGCCCAGGTCTGCGGGGGTATGAATCATTACCCACACGTTAGAGAAGAGCAAACAGCTCAGAGAGGCACAGTCATCTTGCTCTAGGTCACACATCTTGTTGGTGACAGAGATGGGATGTGACTGCCTCACTTCATGTTCCCAACATCCCTGTAGGGAGGGGACTGCCATTATGTTCTCCTTGTGGACCAGGGCCTCGAGGCTCAGAGAGGTAACGCGAGTTGCTCGAGGTCACGCTCGGATTTGACCTCGAGGATTAGTGAGGATTTGAACCCGAGTCTGTTTAACCCCAGAAACTGTGCTTCCCTGGGCCTGACCTCTGATTATTCGAGGCCCCGACGAAGCCAGCGCAGTGGCCGCCTGAGAGGGAGGTTAGCAGAGGGTTAACCTGCTGCACGTTCCCTGGGAAGAGGTGGAGTCCTCACCAGCACCTCCTCCCTCACGGTTTCACCTCTTAAGCTAATGGGCAGGCTGCCTCCATTATCAACCTGTGTGGTCACTCTTCTCTGAAGCTGTGCCCAGCCTTCATCGATGCCCCCAGGGCCCCTGCACCTGCTGCTCAGGGACAGGAAGGAGTCCACCTGCCCTGCTTCCAGGAAAGCCCCACCGCAGAGGCTGACGCCCATGCCGGGCTCACGTCCCAAGCTGACCCGGGGCCATCCTGGAAATCCCTTTCGGAGGCTATGGCCCCCACGTACCCCACACATCCCACGTCCCATCCCAAGAGACTGGGGTGATCGTATCCACCAGGCCTTAGGAACAAACCCAGGGTCAGCAGCTCTTTTTTCTCCTCTGGAGCCCCCTCCTGCCTCCTTTCCTTCCTTCCACAGATTATTTACTGAGCACCCACTATTCCTTCTCCTTTAATATAAAGGACCCGTCAGCCCACAGCCCTTCCCATTTTCTCTCTCTTCCCCCTTAATGCCACCTTGGCCCCCACCCCCTTTTGGCAGCTCTGGGCGCTGGGCCATGTCCAGCACTTCACCAAGAGCAGCAAGCAGCGAGCTGGGTTGTGTGCCTGGCCCTGTGCCTAATACCGCACGTCACCCTCACAGTATCCCCAGGAGGTTGTAAAAGGCCCTGGAGATCCCCCCTCTTCTGTTTACAACTCAGAGCCCCTGCAGGCTTGGGCTTTGGGTTGGGTGAGGTGGGTACAGGGAACGGGGGAGGGGTGAGTAAAGGGAGGTCATTGGGGATGTGGGGTCTGCTTGGTCGCAGGGGGATGTGAGGATGTGAGCATCAGATTCAATTCTGCAGGTAATAAGCACAGGTGCACACCCGACCCTGTCCTCCCTGTGAAATGCAGGGCATAATGGATGAGAATGCTGACCAGGGTGCACACGCATGCTTCCGAAACCCCTGGGCACCCTGTGGTCAGTGGGCCTGGAGAGCCCACTTTGTTGAAACTGCCATGCCAGCCAGAGTATGTGAGGGTGTAAGCATCCCCGAACAGAAGACAATGTTTTTCCCATTTAGTAAGAGAAGTCGGAAGATGCCTACCAAGGCCTTCCAGGCCCCCATGCAGACTGCCAAGGGCAGACCTGGACGCAGGTCACGGGCACTGCCCTCCCCACACAGTCGCTTCAATGAAAGGCTGCGAGGGACAGGCCAGTCATCTCAGGGCTGTTTCTCATTCCTGGAGACTATTCTCTCTCACCCCTTCAAAGATCAAAGTCAAGCACAGCCAGCATGGCTCAGTATTGAGCATCAACCTATGAACCAGGAGGTCACGGTTCGATTCTCGGTCAGGGCACATGCCTGAGTTGCAGGCTTGATCCACAGTAAGGGGACGTGCAGGAGGCAGCCAATCCATGATTCTCTCTCATCGTTGATGTTTCTATCTCTCCCTCTCTCTTCCTCTCTGAAATCAATAAAAATATATTTTAAAAAATGAAGATCAAAGTCAAGTCTCCATTGACATGATTGAATTGATCCTCACAAAGTTAGTTGAGAATTTTCAGCTGGTTTGGGGATCAGTTGCATTGGGATTGAAGGGACTAAGCAGCTCAGTCCACACTGGTTGACATGCTGACTGAGGATGTGAGAACTGACCGCATGCCCTGCCTTTGGCAGACTGAGTACAGAATGCCTCGGTGCACCACCCCTCCCTGACTTTGCAGCTCCCCCAGCAAGAGGTGGAGTATTTTTTCTTATTCCGTGTATCTGGGCTGGACTGATGCCTTGCTGTGGCCAGTGAAGGTGGTGGAAGGATCACTGTGTCCATTTTGAGCTTAAGCCTCAAGAGACTAGATCAGGGGTGGGCAAACTTTTTGACTCGAGGGCCACAATATGTTCTTAAACTGGACTGGAGGGCCAGAACAAAAGCATGGATGGAGTGTTTGTGTGAACTAATATAAATTCAAAGTAAACATCATTACATAAAAGGGTACGCTCTTTTTTTTTTTTTAGTTTTATTCATTTCAAACGGGCCGGATTCAGCCCGCGGGCTGTAGTTTGCCCACGGCTGGACTAGATGCTTTGGCTCTTGTTCTTGGAACCTTCATGTCCATCACATGAACGAGCCTGAGCTGGGATGATGAGAGACGCGGGGCTCAGTCACTCCTGTTACCCTAGCCAACAACCTGAAAATGAGGCCATCCTAGATGGGCTGACCTCCAGCTCGCCCATCCGCAGGGTGCACACACATACACTAGCCCAGCCAGGAGTAGCCAAGCTGGCCTGGACCAGAAGAGCCACCCAGCTAACCTGTAGACTTAGGAGCAGTAACAAGTGGTTGCTGTCTTAAGCCACCCACTCTGAGGCGGGTCTGTAACACAGCAATAGACTACTGATAGAGTCATCAAATGCAGCAGAGCCTTTTGGCAGCCAAGGAGAAGAAAGTGCAGCTTCAGTCCGGGCAGGAGTCGGCAGACTGCTGCCAGTGGGCCTACTGCCTGTGTTGGCAAATAAAACTTTTTTTGGAACACGGCCACATCCATTCATTGTAGCTTTCATACTGCCACGGCAAAGCTAAATAGTTTCAAGAGAGACCATCTGCTCTGCAAAGGCTAAATTATTTATTGTCTGTCCCTTTAAGAAAAAGTTTGCTGATTCCTGGTCTGGGGCATAACAGATGATGATGATGATGATGATGATGATGATGATGATGATAAATATAATAGTAGTAGCCCAGCTAACAAACCTGATACAAGATCTAACTTAGGAGCTAGGAGATCAGGATTCCTGTTGAGAGAACTTAGGCAGGGTTTCCCCCCTCTCTGAGCTACAGTTTCCCCATCTGGCATTGAAGGAAGATGAGCAAGAAACTTTCCAGTTACTTCCAGTTGATTTGAGCCTCAGTTTGCTCACACCAAATGAATGGAGGGTGGGGCATACATTTTTTCCAGGCTTTCCACCCCCACCCCCTATTCCCCCCACCTCCCATCCCCAGATGACTGGGATGCAAGTGAAAGCGAGACCCACTGATCTTCACCATTTGGCTTCAGAGGCTCATCCATGGCAGAGACAAGGGCTTCCAAGAGACATTAGGAGAAATGGCAAGGCCTGTTGATGTTTTAAGAACATCATCCTTCAGCTGCCAGTTGGAATGTCCCTGAACAAATAAGTCTATCTAGAAGCCAATCACAATATCTACCAGAGGGAAGTATGTAGGAGGAAAGTAGGGAGTGAGGTGTCAAAAGCTGGAATATTAGGGAAGGGTAGGGATGTGTCCAAACACATGGTAGTGGTGGTGATGGTGATGATGATAGTGATGGTGATGATGGTAGTGATGGTAGTGGTGGTGATGGTGATGGTGATGATGATGATAGTGATGGTGATGATGATGGTGATGATGATGATAGTGATGGTGATGATGATGATGGTAGTGGTGGTGATGGTGATGATGATATTTGATGGTGATGATGATGGTGATGACGATGATGGTAATGGTGGTGATGGTGGTGATGATAGTGATAGTGATGATGATGGTAGTGGTGGTGATGGTGATGATGATAGTGATGGTGATGGTGATGATGATGATGATGATGATAGTGATGGTGATGGTGATGATGATGATGGTAGTGGTGGTGATGGTAGTGATGATGATGATGATGATAGTGGTGGTGATGGTGATGATGATAGTGATGGTGATGGTGATGATGATGATGGTAGTGGTGGTGATGGTGATGATGATGATGATGGTGATGATGATGATGATAGTGGTGGTGATGATGATGATGGTAGTGGTGGTGATGGTGATGATGATGATGGTGATGATGATGATGGTGATGATGATGATGGTAATGGTGGTGATGGTGATGATGATAGTGATGATGATGATGATAGTGGTGGTGATGGTGATGATGATAGTGATGGTGATGGTGATGATGATGATGGTAGTGGTGGTGCATGGTGATGATGATA